TAATGGAAACTTTATTCCTTTTGAATGGCAACTCTCTTTTTCCTATCTTCCAGCCCCTGGCAAGCTCTGTTCTGCTCTGTTTCTATGAGTTTGACTATTTTAGACACCTCATGCAAGTGTAATCATACAGTATTTGTTTTTTTATGACTGGCTAATTTTACTCAGCATGATGTCCTCAAGGTTCATCCATGTTGTTGTATATGACAAAATTTCCTTTTTACTTTTGTTAAAGACTTTATTTTACTACAACAGTTTAGGTTCACAGCAAAATTAAGAGGAAAATAAGAGATTTTTGAGTTCCTCCTACACCCATACATTTATTGTGTGCCCCATTAGCCAAACCCCCATCTGAATATTTCCTTTTACTTTATAAAGCTGAACAATATTCCGTTTTATGTACATACCACATTTTCCATATCCATTCATCTTTTGATGGGCACTTTACATACCTTTACTATTCACAATAGTGTGAATTACGCTGCAATGAACATTGGAGTGTTAATGTTTCTTTGAGATTCTGACATCAATTCCTTTGAATATATGGACATGGATTGCTGGATCATAAGACAGCTTTATTTTACATTTTTTTGAGAAACCTCCAGACTGTTTTTTATAGCAGCTATGCCATTTGATATTCCCAGCAACAGTGTACAGAAGTTCCAACCTTCCCACATCTTTGCCAGTATTACTATCTTCTTTTTTTTTTTCTCTTCAACTGCCTAAGAGCTGTGAAGTGATATCTCATTGTGGCTTTGATTTGTTTTTTCCTGGTGATTAGTGGTATTGAACATCTTTTCATGTGCCTTTTGGCGATTTGCATTCCTTCTTTCAAGAAACTTTCATTTAAGTCCTTTCCGTATTTTCAATCAAGTTATTTGGTTTTTTTTGCTGTTGATTTGCAAGAATTTCAGTTATGTAATTTCTATTATTTCTTGTCTGTCTCCCTCACTGCAATGTGGTATCTCTAAAAGCAGAGATCTTCTGTCATTTTTCTACTATCTACATAATACTTTACAAATATAACAGATGCCCAATATTTGTGGCATAAATGGATTAAGGAATATTGTGATGTGGTAAGAGTAGACTGAATACATGTACTAGAGTGAAATTGGAAAGAAGTCTCAATAGGTGGAATCAATTTAGATTATGTAATTATTCAAAAACCTGAGAGAGAATTTTGAATCTGAGGCAGCAAATATTTAGGAAGCTTGAAGAAACTTGAGCTTGAATTAGAGGTGATGAAAACATGTTTTTGGAGGACTGCAATAACCTAGAATAGTTATTTCTGGATGCCTGCTGTCCCAGTTTCCCCGTGGTCGCTGAGATGCCTGTTGCCCATGTTCCCGTGGATATTTGTGTGCACAGGGGTCTTTGGTGATGGTCTTCATGAGTGTGGTGCCCTTCTCCTGTTTACTTGGCAACCCTGTACCCAGCCTATCTGAATCCAATCAGTCATCCTCAGAGACGGTATAGAGACAGGGCATGGTTATATGCTACTGTTAAAAGCCCTTCCTGCCCTGAAACTGTCACCCAGAACTGGGTTACATAGCCACCTCTATTGCTCAGGAGGCTTCAAAGGGGCCAGCTTGGCATTTTGAATATTGCCTGTGGAAATTATTCTTCCACAGCAGAGCTGACAGGGAGGAGAATGGCTATTGGGTAAACAACCTTAGAATCCACATGGAAACCATGCCAGAGCTTCGCTACCTCTAGCGGTTAAGTATTTTTCTTATTTATTTATTTTTTCTAGTCTACTCTGTTTTTGCAATTATGAATAATCTATAAAACTCTGTGTGCAAGTTTTTGTGTGGACATAAGGTTTTAACACCTTTAGGAAAATACTAAAGAATGTAATTTCTGATCATAAAGTAACAGTTCATTTAGTTTTGTGAGAAACCACCAAATTGTTCTTCAGAATAACTGTACCATTGCTTTTACTCCTTTGTTGAAAAGTCAGTTGACTATATTAATGGGTGCCTATTGCTGGGCTGTCTATTCTGTTCCACTGACCTATTTGTGCATTATATTGACAATACCACACTGTCTTACTCTAGCTTTATCCTAAGTCTTGAAGTTGGGCATTGTCAGCGTCCAACTGTTTTGTATGTCATTTATTTTTTGAGAAAATGTCTGCCAAATACCAAAGTCTTAATAGCCATAGATTGTCAATTGCTCTTTCAAGTGAAAGTGATATGCTCTGAAAGAGTAGCTAATTATTCTTGCAGCTTAAGCAATCTTGTAAGTACATTTCTTCCAAAATCAAACTTTAGCATGCAGCAGAAATGCTTTATGCTCACTACTTTATCACACAGAATATTAAAAACACATATACTGATGAGCCAAGTTTTAATAAGTTAATAATTTTTACTGGTCAATCAAGGACATTCTTAAGTAAAACTGGTTTTCTATTCATTCATTTATTTTTCTGTTAATTCATGACAGTGGAGAATCTGGCTATGGACTTTTTAAAGTAATATCCTACTTATCTGTCCTTTTCTCTTATTTTCTGTTTGTCTTTTTCCTCTATTTTATGGAAGACTTCCTCAATCACATTTTCTAGTCATTCTACTGGAAAATATTTTTACTTAGAAAAGTGATTTGTTAAAATGTTGTAAGTGTTCTTATTCTTTCTTTGCAACTTTTTTACAGCATCTTTAATTTTTCTAGAATGACATATGTGCTTGAATATCTTTGATGATTTTTAAAGATGTTTTCTGAATTTGTGTTTATCTTAGTGTTTATGTTTATTTTTCACTCTACTAGATTTTTTCATTGAACTGGAGATCCTTGGTTTCCCATTATGTATAACAAATCACTGTGGCTTTCCTCAACTTTTATGAAAGCAAAACTCTTTTCATTTGATATCTTACTTTTCAATTGATTTCTTACTGAGATATCTACAGGGCATTTGATACTGTGACTTACAGATTTTGCTTTAGGATGGAGCTAGAGGGTCAGGCTATGGGTCCCCCAAATCACAGAATGAAGAGAACTTTATTGCAGGCATCACACTTAATATTCCAAATCTCTTCACTGAATATATTTTAAGAAGCAGCTATGGTTATGTATTTCATTGATACTTTCTATCATCTACTGGCCCTATGTAAACTCAGGGAAAGGGGTTGGGTACATGGTGGTGGTAGGTGATATTACCTGTAAAAGTATCTTCACTGGATCTTTCCATTTTTATCCTTTCTTTGTACGTCTGCTCTATTATTTACAGGCCAAAATCTAGGTAATCCGGAGTTCTATGGGGATGGATGGCCTCCATTCCTTTGCAGCCTTTTGAAAAATTACTTTCTAGGTTGCAAACTTGTCTGCCTTTCCCCATTTTCCTCCACATCCATCTTTTACATGTTTATATGCCTCCCCATTCTCTGGTTTATCATGTTGGTTTATTCTGCTTTGGGTTTCTGTATTTCTATCACAGTGACACAGTAAAAGAAAAAAAGAGGAAACCCATTTGTTCAGTCTACCATAGTGTGCTGTACACCTTTTGATATAGTCTCTACAGTCAAAGTTTTTGCCCCTTTTCTTCACAGGGAACTTCTCTGTTCTTATGTAAATTCATGAGTGTAAATAAAAACAGAAGTAAATGGGCTACTTCAGCTCAAGCTCTATACCAATCAGTATTTTGAGGGAGAAGACTAAACTCTGTTCATTTTTGGAAGAAGACACAATAGAGATAAGATTAACACCACGGACTCTGAAATCAGTGCCTGGGCTATAATCTGGGGCCACTATTTGTATGGTCAAGTCAAAACTATTTAATCTCTCCTTCAGTGTTCTTAACTATAAAAATAGTTTTAGTAACAGTAATACTTACCTTGTAGAATCATGAAGATTAAGTGAATTAATCTATCTGCAGTATTTAGAACTGTGTACTACGCAAAATCAGATTTAGTAAGGGATGATTATTATTGATGATTGTATTATTTTTGTTCCTGGAATATCTGAAACTAGATGTTCATTCAACAGAATTATCCTGGCATTTGATGAGAATAGTTGTACCTTGAAGATAAAGACTCATTATTTTGTTCATAGAATTAAATGACTTTTAAATTGTAGGCCAAAATTGATGTGGTCCCAGTTGTCATTAATTAGATTTTTGTTGAAAACTCTGAATTGTTCAAAATCTTTAAAATTATGAGCTTTTTTAAAATTATTAGATTGCTTTTAAAGTTTTAGTGCACTCAGCATGGAGTGCTAGAAAGAACACTAGTTTGGGAGATAGAAAGACCAAATATGTAAATGTGATTATGAAAACTAATCTCTCTGAATCTCAGATTCTTCATCTGTGAGATGGGAATGATAATAGTTTCCTTATACTTTTGCTATGACAGTTTGAAATACTATAGTAAGAAGTTTATAATTTGTACTACCAACTTCCTGAGGGTCAGGGTTATTTATTTTTTTTCTGTAGCTTATTGCAGAGTCTCTAGTATCAAACTGAATACAAGTTAACAGTGTACATTAGTAAAATTTAAGAGAAAAGGGCATGAAGTGTAAAGAATAAAGAAGTCACTGTAATTTGAAGAATCCAGTAACAGAGAGTACCAAGGATTAAAAGCTTTCATACTTTAAACAAAAAAATTAGAGAACAACCTTTTTAATTGTTGTTTAGATATTCTGTTGGATTTTGCCATACATTTACAAATATAGTACAATATTATTATGATCATGCTTAAGTATATATAAATAATAAAATGTGTATTGCATACTAATTTGAAATATGCTCTTATTTGTATCACTTTCTTTTTAAGAAAAGATAAGTTAAAGACAAGAATCTCTAATGGGGGAGAGAGAAGGAAATTTAAACAGTAAAATGTCATTATGGTTTGTATTTTTAAAAGTAAAAGTGATTTTACTATTTCCCTTAGAAACAGAGTTTGGGATGATAACAAAAATAAATCAGAAAGTACTACAGTGTAATAGCTGTTTTTTATTATTTATTAAGATGATTATCTTTTCCATTAAAAAAAATCTTATCATTTTTACAGACAAGAAGCTGTGGTGGGCAGACCAAAACTTAGCTCAGCTGGGGACCTGCAGCAAAAGAGATGGAAGAAACCCCACTGTCCTACGAAATAAGACTTCTGGAGTTGTTCATATGAAAGTGTATGATAAAGAAGCACAGCAAGGCAAGTCACACGGCAATGAATTTGTGCTGCCTTTTGAATATACAGTGTTCTCTTTTTCACATCATTTTCTCAGTGCAACAATTGAAGGTTCCTATTTTTCCATCCAACAAAAAGGAAAAAAAAAGCATGCATTACTTAACATTGTAGAAAAAATACCTTCATCATAAGGTATATACTGAGCTATCAGAACATTAGAAAACCTGCTCAGGGAATCTTAATTCATCAGGTCTTCAAAGAGATCTTATCCTGTCGTTGATTTAGAAAAAATATAAAGAATAAGAAAAAATCCTAGAAAAATATATGCAATGCATCCTTAAACCCAGAAACTGAATGAACTAGAGGACTTCAAGTGGATTTTGTCAACATAAGAATTTCATATCCAAAGGCACTACACTGTTTGGCTCTAAGCATTTTGCTTTTTGTTTTTTGCTTGTCCAAATGGTGTGCAGTGAAATGGAGTGAGAGAACTAACAGATGGTTTACATAGGTGGACTTGTCACACTGCCCACATGGCAGTTAGAGTAGAGATGCCAGCCAGTACAGCCCCACACCTGCTAGCCCTTTCTCAGTTTTTGCTTCATGATCCATGACATGAGCAGATCTACCTCCCTAGAAAAAAAACATTTCTGTATTCTGCTTTCTTACTGCAGTCTCTGCCATGAAAATCCTTAGCTTCATAGACTTGAACTCTTATGAAAAAATTGCAAGAAAGTTTAAAGGGATTTTCATCTAAAGGATTTGGGCATGTAGACCAAAGCAGAGCAGTAGAGCTAAGAACAGTGAACCTAGGGGATCTCTAATTCTGAAGACAGGTGACAACCATCACGCAGGCAAGATTTATGGGAGATACCAGTTGAGAGCCATACCTGTACATGGAGAGACAAAATGAAGACCAGATTCTCGATTGCCTTCCCTGTATAGAGCGTGGGCCATTTTGGGTTTGGATTCCTATCTTGCCAGGAGCAACAGGAAGCATTTATTTTTTGCCAAAAAAATAAAATAAAATAAGAGAGAAGAACTGCTTAAAATTCTATCTGAACTGATTACTAGGCTCTTTTCATGGTTGAAAAGATACCAATACCCAAACTCTTGTGCACATATTTGTATTTGATCGCTGATACTTTCTGCTCCTTGTCCATGATAAGGAAAATCTGTTTTCCCTAGCAATTCTGTAATGGAACATTTTCTGTCAAAATAAATAATTTTACTGCCATTCAAGTCATGTAGAATAGACTAAATAATTGAGAATAAAACACTGGTACTCAATAAATAAAATATCATGATATTTTTGTGTATTTCAGTACAATATATTGGTTAAGTGTAAAAGTTTACAGTACTATCATAAAATACAGTTTATAGCCTACACTTAATAAGATTATATCTGAAAACACAGAAAACTAGAAAATACAACAGGGAGAGAGATACTTATTTCTAAACAGAACATTCAAAAAAAATCTATGTTCCGTTTTTAAAAATGGGAACAAGCACATGCTTTTTTTGAAATTGTAAAGTAACATACTGAGTTTTTCTAGATACAATTCCAGTAGTTTCTTGGAGGAGAAATTTATATTATATTTGGCTCACATTTTTGCTCACATTAACAAGATTTCCTTCCTCATTTAAGGATTTGCTCCTATAGGTATAGTTGGGTACTCTACACACTAGGAACATGTTACTAAATTGGCAAGGACTTCGACCACTTAGAAATTAATGGTATAATATGACTAAGCTTAAAATGCAGTGAAAATACTATTTTTACTAGATAAATATGCTGATAAAAGCATCTGTATTAAAGACAATCTCATTAACAGAATCATGGCAGGTAGCTTAAAAGCTTCATTAGCATGAAACATGAGCAGTTTAAGATTATTTAAGGTGTTAACATTACTACCTCTCAAAGTACAGTTAGCTACTTCTTTTATCATTTTTCACACAGATCACTGGAAAGCTGAACTTCTTGATAGTCAAGTGGACTTTTTAGCTACACTAAAAATTGAGTCATGAAGGTTGAACATCAATATCATTGTGAAATATTAAGCCAACCTTGTATTTTAACTTGTTAGATAATCACTACCTAAATTATCACTTTTTAATATCACTCTAATGTTTTCCTTTCATCAAATCTCTATTTAATAAGCAAAGATACTTATTGTAAATAATGAATCATTCATTTTTTCCCCCTTTTCTCTCTTTCGCTTTCAACTTTTCTTTAGCAACAAAACAAATGGTAAATGAAATGTGTATTTTTGTATGACATAGTTGTTGAGAGACTAATTTTGCTATTTGTTAAAAAACAAATAAAGTACAATATATACTGCTATTATTATAATTCTGTTAAAAACACACAATCCCAGAAGCTCCCTTTCCTTTTTTCACATAATTTTTTGATATTATCAGTCATATGCCCCCTCAATATCTTATTTCAAATAAATTTGTTTTCTTCCCTAATCACTTTTTCTTTACTTCTATCTCCTTATTTGTCCTTTCCTCCATTTGGTGTTTCTTCAAACCTGTAGCTAGGTGCCAATTATCAGTCTCTTCCCAGCTTTTCAGTCTTCAGTGATAGTTGAAATAAATTTGTATCTAAATATGTATATCTATAGATTCACATGATGTTAATATATAGTCACATGCTATCTATGAAATGAAATATGTATATGGTCAGTATAGAATTACTGTAAATGTATAAATATAATTGTCTCACTATTCAAATAAGCAGAGATATGAAATTTCATCTTAGCATATAAGTCAGCTGGTGAAAAAGGGGCAACAATCAATCAATCCTTATTAGTTTTTATAAGAGGTAAAGGTAATCGTTTCAAAAGTTTAGGGCAACTCAAATCCTAGTATGTAGCCCTGTGTGAGGTGGAGTTCAGCATTGACTGAACTGGCAGCTATAGGAAGTCAGCAGAGAATGTGGTAGACCTCCTGATGAGAAGTTTCCCAAGTTGAGAGTATTTCACACTTCATATACGACAGAGCTCATGACAGGTTTAATTGAACAATTAAATCCCATCAGACTATCTTGAATTCAGGAGATGAGAAATAATGAGCTGCATTGGTATTTTGAATTTTCCATAGAGCACTATTGATATATAGCTTTCATTATGCTTTATAATTCTCACTGGATTTATTGCACTTTATCTCAGAGCTTAAACATCCAGTAAATGGCATTGCATGTCCTAGAATAATAAAAATGTTGTAAAAATGGGATATTTAATGAACTTGCTGGTTACGATTGTAAATTACTTAACTTCACGCTACCAGCTTTAATTAGCACAGTGGGACTAGTAGATTCAATGGAACATCTTCGTAGAATGCCTACCTGTGATTACCTGACTAATATTTGTCATTGCTACTGCACAGGAATAAGGAGAATTAATATGCCAATTAATTAGATGACTCTTGCGGGTGTGTTTCAAATACATTTTGGGAGAACTATGTTCCTAGGAATGGCAAAATTTATTTCCTTGCTTTTAAAAATTAATTAAATGTGCATATATATGCCTCCTTTTAATGGCATAATCTTAGAATTGAGTTAGTAACATAATTTAGCAGCTATTTACTTGGTACATTTGGGTAAAATAGTCTTGAAAAGGAAGTAACTGTAGAGTTGAAGTTAAATTTAGAAGTCAAAAAGAATTCCTGGTTTCTGTGATCTTAAAATATCACAAATGTCTACAACAGTATTTATGACAAATCACTTTCCTTTTGCTTTTCTGTGACTATGAATCCTGTCATGTATCTCCATTTACTTTTTAATTTTTTTAAAACTATTTATTGATTTATTTTTGTGTTTATTTTTATTGAGATATAATTGACATTATAACAGTATAATTTTAAGATGTATAATGCATTGATTTGATACGTTTATGTATTACAATACGATTAGCACAGTAGCTTTAACTAACATCTCTATCATGTTACATAATTATTATTTCCTTTTACAGGGAGAACAGTTATGATCTAGTCTCTTAGCAACTTTGAATTGTATTCATGCTAAATCTATACTATAAACTGATTATAGTACTGTTGTCTTTAATTACTGTGCTATGTAGTAGATCTCCATTTACTTTCCTGGAAGAACAAACATCAATCATAATTTGCTACTTCATATAATTCAAGAGAATAAAATATAATGTTAACCAATATGAAACAGTGGCATTTAGAAATTAATAAGAGCATAAATATTTCTTCAAATTACTGATATTGAGTGATATTCTATTTTTATGATATTCTTGATTTTTACATTTCTTTTGTTTGTTTTCCTATGCAGGCAGCAATTCCTGTCAACTAAATAATGGTGGATGCTCTCAGCTTTGTTTACCAACATCCGAAACTACAAGGACTTGCATGTGTACAGTGGGGTATTATCTCCAAAAAAACCGCATGTCGTGTCAAGGTACAAGGTCTCAAAAAATCTTAATTCTGATGTATTTATTTCTTCCATACAGTCAACCAAACCAGCTAAAAATTAGAAACAGATAATACTAGCTTGTTTCAAACAACTGATTGATGTCATATGTAGAAATTTTAGTGTATCATAAGCATCATTGTTTCTATAAAACGTCCTAATTTTTTAGTTATTTTCATTTACTGTAGTTATTATCAAAACTTTAACCAAATCCAGTAGAAGCTGCCTTCAACTTGAATAGGCAAAAGTTGAAGTAAAAAGCAGTCGTTGATTGGCTACAATTACCATCCAATTTGAATTTAGTTATGTTTATTTTATTCTACCCAAGAGAAAGTAGCAGAGAGGATGTGAGGTCTCAGATTTGCTTACCTCAGGGAGAAGAGCACCACAAAAGAATTGGAACCTAAGAAATTTATCTTCTGATTTCTTGTTTCATAGCCTCTAGTTCTATTAGCCCCAAAGAACTCTGGTTCTAGAATGACCTTTCAATTCAGTGATCATAGCTTAATTTTATTTTAAAAAAAGTTTCAATCTTACATGAGAAATATATATCCAAATATCATCATACATCTTATTTTAAATCATATATTTATATGACTGTTAATGTGTACCAGACATTGTGTACCTGAAATATAATTCACTTAATCCTTATAATGACCTTGTGAAACTAGGTCTCTCATCATTCTCATTTTAGAAATGAGGAAACTGAGGCACAGAGAGATTAAATAGCTTGTCTAAGTCATACAGGAAGTGGTGGAAGCATATCTAAACCCAGGCATTCTAGTTTTAGTAAGAAAATGTATATAAAAACATTTTCTGACATACTAGAAAAATCCATAAACATTAGCATGCAGATTGGTCTGGTAGTGTATAATATGTGCTATTTTAGGACATAATTTTTATGCTGGAAAAGCAAGATATTAGCAAAAAGTAAGTATATTAGTATTTTTAGTGTTCAAAAGGATTTAATAAGTCTAACCCTATTTGAAAAATAACAGTGATAGAGTTGTCTAAAATCATATCTACAATCAAAGTTTATCATCTTGCATAAAAGTAAAGAGATAATTAGGCTTTAGAGAATTGGGGGTGGGTTTTGAGGTCAGGTATGTTTCCAAGAACTTTCTACCTCAGTGTTTAAGAAAGTATGGTTGCAGAACAGTAGCATCATCACTGCCTGGGATCTTTTTAGAAATTCAGATTTCCAGGGAAGGGCCCAGTAATCTGATGTATACTCGATTTTGAGAATCACTAAGCTATCTTTCAACTAGTCATAAGTATCATACACAATTAAAAAAAAGTCTAAGAAATATTTTCATGAAATTAAGATTGTTCAAAATAGTGCTGAAGGAATGATTTGAATTTTAAATATTAATTTTGAGCTTTCTATTTTATTATTTTTTTCTCCAATTTAGGTATAGAGTCATTTCTTATGTACTCTGTTAATGAAGGAGTCAGGGGAATACCTCTGGAGCCAAGCGACAAAATGGATGCTTTGATGCCTATATCAGGAACTTCATTTGCTGTGGGAATAGATTTCCATGCAGGTAAATAACTTCCTATTTATAATTTATGTACAATGTTTTCACTTGATTTATTAAACATGATAGAAATATAACCTTTCTGTCTGCACTCTGATAGTCAAATTGAAAAAGGAATAAGAAAGCAAATTAGAAATGAATTTTTAAGCCTAACTCAAATTGTTCTATATATGTTGTGCCTGAAAAAAAAAAAATTAAGTAAAATTTTCCTAAAATACAGGATTTGAATTGCAAGCATTAAAATGTGACTGGCATTTGATTCTTCATTTTTATCTTTCTTTTCTTTTTAATGACACCTTTATATTAATCCACCTATGAACACAAAGGCATATAAAAACATTTTGATGTGTTACATACTTAAAACAATGTTATTTAAAATATTTTCAGGATGAACGCCTATTCTAATATAGACAGTGGCAAATTAAATTCAAATAATGGAAACAATTATAAATGTTAAGCTTTTTAAAATTACTTTTGAATACAATATGTGTCATTTTGGTGTCAGATTTTACCTGACCTTATTGTTGTAGCAAGCAGTGAAAGAAAACAGGGCGCTAAACATTTTGCAGTGGCTAATACAAATGTATGTCTGGGAGTTTATGTAAACACTGTCAAATTTATTGTAGTAAACATTTTGTTGTGCTAATGGCTAAATTCAGATGTAGTATAAGCATTAGGTATGCTTTTCTTATTAATATTCAGATTTTTATTTGACACTTGAAGGTTTAAACTTAGGAAAGCATATTTTCCCATTTCTCATCCAACTAAACCATATGCTTCCTGAGTTAATGTTTTAGCTAAAGACGTACAAGCATGCTTTCAGAATTTTTTTGTACTTGTAAAGACTTAATTTTATCTAATATTAAAATCAAATAGTTCTTTGATTTATAATCTTAAAAAAAACCCTTAAACATCAGTATGTGGGCTTCTGGTGATAAGCTCATTCTTTCCCCCAGTTCTAACACATTCTGTTTAATTATGTGTTAATTAAATTCTAGGCTACAAATTAATGAATTACTGGGGATGTTCACAAATAGTTCAAAGATGACTTTTCTTAAGTAAATCATTTTTGTACCAAAAGTATGGAATCACATAGAGGCAAACATTACATATCTTTAAAAGAAACTTTCTCAAAGAGAAATTTAGACAAATATAGCAGATTTTGTTGAGAAATATGTTAATTTTGCCAAAATCACTATGTGATTTTTGATCAGACAAAGCTGTTTGATCTAACCTCATTATACATGGAAGGTTCACATTATCATGCATAATCTAACACGCTCTTATTTACATGCATCTTATTCTGTAGAATTTTGGGTCAGAGGATTTAGTAAGTGCAAAACTAACAAAACTAAAACTTCCTGAAATAATTTAATGTATATATGCATTTTTTTTTACTAACTATACATAATCCCTTGTTTCAGCTGGTATCAAAAATTCAATTATTTTAGTCTCCATAATAACTTTTGAAAATACTTGACAAATTTCCATGAGGTACAAATATTAAAATAAACCATTTGGTCTAAATGTCCTGATTAGATCATAAGTAAATCTTTTTCTGACGGGTAAACTGAGTATTTGTGTGAATTAATCTCACTCTCCAAGACCTTATGCTTACCTTGAAATAGTCAGGTTTCAAATAATGTAATGATAGATGGTAATTTCATTTGCAGAGAAGAGTACTCTCCCTTTTTCTAAATCCCCAATAATATTAATAACAAAATCAATTTACTTTGTATCAAAACAGCTTTCCATCAGAGGATTTACCAATTGTTAATTAAAACCTTGTGTTCTTTATATTGTAACTGCCATATTTTTAAAGTACTAGAAAAAAAACTATTTTTAGAAAATCGATTTATTTTTCTACATGTAAAAGGATGTAGGCATATGGAAGAGTCATATAAAATTACAATGTTCAATAATCTATTAAAATCCTTATTGCTAATTAGAAAACACTAATTCAAAATTTGCTTTGAATTCAAAAAGGGCTGTAGATGTAGGGACCAGTGAAACATAGTGGGAAGAGGCAAGACTCACGCAACAGGAAACTTGGATTCTAATGCTAGTTCAAACCTTCACTACCTCTCTGACCTTGTGTAAGTTACCTAATATTTCTGAGGGCCAGTTTTTCCACTTTCTGGGATATTGAAATATTTAGATCAATTTATACAATGTTTGGCACAGTTCCTGATATACATGTATGCCAAGAAAATAGTAAAAGACATCTAATAATGGAAAGCAATAAATTATATAAGAATTAGCTTATGTGAGACATACATATGTAAGTAGCAAAGATTTTTTTTGTTTTCTTGATTAATACTATATTTTCTATTAAGTTATCTACATAGTCTAATAGTTGTTTCTTAACTTCTTGGGGACAGAAAGAATAGGTTACTGAATTTCCCTAGTGAAGATTAACTTCACTATAATAATGAAGATGAACAATAATGAAGATGATGATGAATAGTATGTAGAGCAGATTTTTAAAGATCAAATTACATCAACAATTACTCAAAGTCATTGAATGTAAACCTTGGAAGTGAGCAAACTGGCAGTGAACCAACTGAGACACTAACGATGATGGTGGTGGTGACAGTGGTGGTGTCAAGAGATTTCAGACACTTCTCCACATACCTTTTGTGGTTCCATCTACTTTATAGTCTAACCCTTTAATAAGTATGTTTTATGAAAATATATTGGGATCAGAATAAATGTCAGCAACTTGAATTATATTATGGACATTATACAAGCTCTGCTCTGTGATTTTGTTGAGTGAAGTTGCTCCAGGGAAGAAGGAAGGAAAATGAATAGATTGCTCCTGGGAGAGACAGAAAAAACAATTTTTGACACATCAACCTCTATTTTTTTCTCCAAGACCTTTATATTTTACCTGATTATAAATTATCACTCTATTAGTTCCTCTCCTCTCATTAATGGCATTCACTTCAAGGACTTAAAGTGATCCTACTGATGAATCAATCGAAGATAAAGATGACAAACTGGAAGGGCAGAGTTGGCCCATATTCTGTCGAATAACTTCCATCATAATAAGGAGATGGTGTGAAGGAGGATCATTTAAGTATAACTATAATAAATTATGTACTATTATCTCATTACCACAATTTTACAGGAATACATATATTGTTCAAGTCTGTACATTTCATGATGATTAACAGATATGAATTTTGCTGAGTTTTGGCCCTAATGAATTAAAGTTTTCTGTAGTGAAAATATTTCTTTCACCAGATGAAACAATTCTAAATTCTATCCACAGAAGAAAGAAGATCCTTTGGTTAGATTTGAACTGTTTAAAGCATTCTTACAATTTCACTGGAAAAGTCCTATTCCACTGGAAAAAAAATATGTTAAGCTTCGAAAATCCTTGCCTGCTAGGTGATATTCCCCCTGATGAATAAATACTGAGTTTGATGCTCTAAAAGATACATTCTAGGTAGGAGAAAAGTCTCCAAAACAAAGACTATTGCTTTGTAATTGTAATATTCAGTAAGTAAGGCAAGCCAGTCCACCCCTCCCCTACCTTGAGGGTTTTTATGACATTTTCATAGAAATCAGTAGTAAGATATTACTTGAATAGGGAGGATATTCTATTCAGAGAGTGATTATTTTTCTGACATTTTCAAGCTTGTATTCTTTTTTCCTCTTATCTCTTTTGCTCATATTTGAGTCATTCAACTCAGTGTTAAATGTCATTACTCTCTATTAGGTATAGAATATCACAGTGAAGTTGCTGAAGAGGATAAAGATAAACAAGGAAGAGTTTCTTGTTTGCAATGTATGAATGATCTGTAGGATAGGATTTTTTTTTTTTTTAAAGACAGGATCAACGGACCATTATTTGGATGTAATCATTTGGCACTCACTATTTAGAATGCCTTTTTGTAGCATCATATGTGTTATAGCTATTAAAACAATAAACATTGAAAGAACATGTCATTGTACATCTGCTACAACTCATAGAATGAATGTACACTATGAAGAGTAAACCCTAACGTAAGCTATAGATCCTAATATAAACTATGGATAAGCTAATGTAAGTTCATCATGTAACAAATTTCCACTCTGGTGTGGGATGTTGATAGTAGGGGAGTCTGTGCATGTATAAGGGAACTCTGCTCAATTTTTCTGTTAGTCTGAGCTCTAAAATATAAAGTCTACTAAAAGAAAATCAAAACAAGGAGAACATTCAACAAAGTACTATTTTCACTTTGACGTAGTTGAATGTCCCTATTTACATGAAAGAATCTCTCCTTAAGAGTCCCATTTGCATATACCTTTGAATGTTAAAGCTGGAAGGAACATTTGATGCCACCTAGTAGCATCCCCTCATGTTGTATAGATAAGGGGACTGGAAGCCAGATAGATCCAGAGGCTGTGTAGTAATGGAGAATCATACTCCCAGTTCTTTACACTTGCCCACCTTGCATTTGTAACCACTGAAGCAAAATTTATTTAGATCATTGTTGGCATTACTTGATAAAATTACACTGCACTCTTGCAAACGTGTGCTAGTAAAAGTTTATCTTTTGATTTATATACTGAGTCATATGACCTTAAACCCATTTAATAATTGAAGTAGCTGATACTCAAATGAAAGTCTCTTTTTTACTATGCCTGGAGGCTTAGAAAACAGCTATTTACAAAATTATTTTAGTAACCACTTTGTCACCATCAAGTCCACAGAAGAATTATAGAAAGAACTCTTTTTTGTGTTAGTAACAGCAATAGCTTAGGAAATATAACACTGTTGCTGTGGGACATTTTATCAATTTTATGAAAACCATTTCCTTGACTACAAAGTGAATTTTTAGGGCTGGTTCTATGTCTTCTTGTTCTTTTGACAGTGAACCAATACTACTTTGTGTTGTTATTTCAAACTTGCTTCAAGATTATATTTTCAAATCATGCAGTGATGTATTTTGTATGTATTTTTAGATAGTCAAGTCCAGTCAATCTTTCAAGATGTAAAGTAGTTAACTACCAAGGAA